AGAGGAGGGAGAAAGGAAAAGGGAATCAAAAAAGGGAGGGACCAAGTAGGCTTAATTGTAAGTTACAAGAAAGGAAATTAGACCCCCAAAATGCCATGTTTTGCACTGACAGGACAATGGGTAATACTATTTGAGAGAGAAAAAGAAATTGTAAGAGTCGTGTCTGCTTTTGGTTTTATGAGGATGAGAAGGAAAGAGGTGGATTAATGAGAAAAGAAAGGTCAAAAAGATAGATAAAACGAGGTGTGGACTAAAAATTTACATATCAAAATTAAAGAAACAAAGAACAAGAAACGAAATGATTAATTTTTAAATAGAAAAATAATCCTGGAGTAAGAAGCAGAAGAGCTGATAATGCATGTTCCCTTGGGCTTTAATGCCTAGGTCCAGGTAGGAGGTCTACTTGGGTGTACAAACTAGGCCCAGCCACATGACATCACACAGGTGGGCCTAGACTCAACCAGTAGGATTGGCCAATCCTCTCAACCATACCTCCCCCAGCCAGTGGGGTGGGAGAGAATAAGATTCAGGCATGCAGCCTGGCACACCGTCTTGACCCACCGCCAGCTGTTTTGACTCTGCTCTTGTTCACCTGCATGCTGCAAGCAGAGGATGGGAGCCCCTCCCATGTGCAGGTGTGCACAGCCTGCATGCCTGCCCATGGCCTGATGGGGCCCACACTCTCTTGATCCCTTGGGATTTCATGGTGCCACAAGCATGGGTTTGGGGCTGCTAATCCTGTGTGCTTTCTCCGTGGTTTTTCACTCCCAGTTGAGAGTCCCTGTGCTGCTTCCACACAACCTGGCACGCTTTCCAGAAATAGCGTGTACCTTTTGAGACTGAAACACCTGAAACTTTCCCTTTCCTTCATGAAAACTCACTTGGTTTACAAAAGTACTAATGTCGCATGAATTCTTCTGGCACTGCAAAGCATGCTCCCAGGTACTCCAATCCCGGCAGCTGACAGAACCACCTCGTCGAGGTGTCAAGTAATATTGGGTATTAATTAGTGTGCTACCCTGACTTTTTGTGTTATTTCACATGTCTTTTGATGACTCTTCACCTTGTTGTTTCTTCATATACAAATGATGTGAATGCTTTACATCACTTTTAACTTCTATCCAATTTTAGTGTCTTACAAACAACAGGACATAAGTATGTATCTATTTTGACCAAGATGTTATGTTCATTAATGACTCAAAATAATTTCTATTGCACTACATTCAAAATACTTCTTTTATTCTCTTGGTATTAATCAAGGTTGCTATTCTTCCCATTTATTATATTGCATATATAATCTGATATATGTCACTGCATAGTCAGAAAAGTAATTGAAGACACTGAACTATATGAAGAAGAGTGTTGTGGCTCAAGATTGGAGGAAGACTTATTAACAATTTGTTATAAAAGTGACCCAACTTTGCTTCCACAAAGCAATAGGTCTCAAAGCTCTTAGTAATGAAGAGCAAAGATTTCAGCCTAGAGTATGAATTATGCCTCAACATCATGGAAAAAACTTCTCATAGCAGGACCTAATGCAATACGATAAGTGAAGGAAAGGTGTAAGCTGTCAAGGGTTCTATTTTACTTGGCGCCACCATCAACCCCATGGAAGTAGCTTTCAGCAATTCAACATGTTATATATTCTTATTAAAAAATAAGAATTTTTAATATGCGACGGATTGTCAGAAGAATGAGCAAACTCGTGTTAGAAGCAGTACATCAATATTTTTCTTAAAAGCAAGGAGAGGGAGACTTCATCTCACATGCGAGCATGTTGAACATGAAGTCAGGCGGGACCATTAGCTAGAGAAGAACATTCTGAATGGAAAGGTAATTGAAATCGAGGAAAGATGGGTTGAAAAGTGGCTGTGAGAAGGCACTTAGCCATAGGAAAGATGGCGAGGGCAGTGGAGGGGGAAGCAGTGCTTCGTCATCCGTTGTACATAAGGGTCACTATGAGCTCAAATCAACTTAATGGTACCTAACAACAACAACAACAACCTGTTTGTGTGCTTGTGTGTATGTTTGCTCATATTTGAGGTAGTTCAAACTTCCCGAGTGCCCTGAAAGCAAACAAGATAATTACTTTTGAATGTTGGTTTTAGAAGGTAAAGTTCACAACCACGAGTGTATGAGTCAACAAAACATATATTTATGGAAAGAATCAGCAAATATCTGCTTATTGAAAACTGCTAGAACCATTAGGCTTGTTACATGGAGCTTCTGAATTCTCTGTTAAAACTCATGACAAATCTCAAATTGGTTATACTAGCCCTGCTACTCAGTTTTACTTTGTGGTTTTATTTATACTCTTCACATGTGCTGGGCAAAGTCACCTCTGAGCACTGAAATGTGAATGATGGTTGACCAGAGGGTTTGTTTCTTTTGAAGCGAGAAGAGCATGCCATCAGATTATGTGCTCATTTGGCGCCTTCACACCATGAACCTCGTCATCAAGAAGTCCACATTTTTACACTTCTCTTATGTCAACTCCAGTCAAGACTATCGCATTTCATTGTCACTGGTGAGTGGCAATGTTAAGTACTGACACTCATGAAACGTAATATAGGAATTCTAATTTTTTTTCGGAGGAATTAACTTCACCTTGAAAAGGCTAGGAAATGGATATGAATAAAATTGTGCATGAGTGTGTAAATAAGTTGTATGTTAGTGTGTGTGTGTGTGTGTTTAGCCTTGCTTTAGAATAGCAATATCAGTGGAAACCTCAAGATAATAAACATGTGAATTGCTAGCCTAATTAGTGTCATCTATCTACTTTGTCCCATGATATAAACTCATAAAAAGAACCAGAAATTAGGGTGGAAATCTCAAAGTCATAATGAGCATAAGGACCATCTCCTAGAAATTAGTACCTTTGAGATTAATTAAAAAGTTTTCTTTTCAGTGATTCCCTTGGAGACACATTATAACATGATGTAAGTAGTAAGAGGAGTTTCTATAAATGTGTTTCTGATCTGGAGTTTTCCTATACCTACTATAAGAAACAAAATCATCACCACAATCAATTTCAGAAATTTGCTTAGTCATTGTTGTTAGCATCCCATTTCCCTCCAAACCCCCAATGCGATCCAAGCCTCTAGGTAATTATTTATTTTTATTTTTTTCAATTTCACAACTTCTACTTGTATAATTCAATGCCATTAATTATACTCTTCGTGATGTACAGCCACTATTGATATCCTTTTCCAAATTATTCTACCACAATTTACATGAACTCAATGGCCCTTACACACTGCTTCCCCCTTCACCTATGGTAAACACTGGTCAAATTTGGTGTCTTCCCCCACCCCACTCCCATGGTTTTCTTGATATAGTATTCACATATCACATAATTCCATGGTTAGATCACTTTTATAATGAGTAGTATAATCACAATCAGTTCTAGTGCTCTCGGCCCACTGGAATTCTTATTATTTTCATGGCTATCCATAGTGTGCTATGATCCCCACAGGCAAATGCCTTGGCATAGCTGATAAAACACAAGTAAACATCTGTACGGTGTTCTCTGCTTTCAGCAGAGAGCTATCTGACTTCATCAATGATATCCCTTGTTCCATGTTCTCTTTTGAATCTGGTCTGAACTTTTGGCAGTTCCCTGTCAATACACTACTGCAACAGCTGTTGAGTGATCTTCAGTAAAATTTCACATGCATGTGATAGCGGCGATATTGTTCTATAATTTGAACATTCAGTTAGGTCACTTTTCTTTAGAATGAGTGCAAATATAGATCTCTTCCAGTCAGTTGGTCACATAGCTGTCTTCCAAACATGGAACCCTTTAATGAGACAAGAGTCCACATGGGGTCACTAGCTCGGTTCTTCTTTGGGATCTGGGTCCTGCATCTTGTTCATCTAGCTCTGTTATATTGCCTGCTCATCCTAGAATCCCAGGAGCCAATGTCAGATTCATTCAGCGGTGAATTCAGCAGCTTGCAGTTTCCTCGCTTAATCTTTCTTCTACCTGTTCAGCAGCCCCTGCAGCTCACCAGAATCTAGTGAAGTCATTAGCTTACGTCTGACTCACAAACTTATACCAAACTGGACTTACTTCTATGACTGGGTGAGCTATCTCTTGGTAGAAATCTTTTTCTATAAACATACACATAAAACTGTCCCTGTTTACGCTTTTCTTGAGAGCCCAGCCTAACACAAGAGACTAATGTCAAAGTTTTTAGTAACCAGAGAACCCAGACACAACACAATATCAACTTGACCCAGTATTGCCTCCTGGCTGCACGGGCCAATACAAAGGCAAATCTATTCTCTAATACTGAATCACAATATTGTCACCCCTCAGACATCCCCCTTTTCTGTCCTCTCCACATCTGTTCCAGCACTGGTCTTTCACAGCCAGAACTGGTTTTCAGGTCTAAACCCAACCGATATAAAGGTTTTATTATATAGCATGCTGGTACCTCGGCTGTGTGCACAAGAGAACTTCTTCGGTCCCCGTCACTGTTTTTCTCCTTTATACAGTGCCCATATGGTATAGGAGTCACAGAATGCTTCTTGAAGTCTAGGGAAGGCGTCACTTTTCTTTTGTCAATGACCTCTAGACCATCAAAGGAAGGTTTATTCAATGTAGGCCAGCTGGCAACACTTACAGGTGAAGGAACAGAGGAGGAGATTGAAGAACGTAGATTAAGAAATATCATGTCTAGATGATTCACCTGGAAAAGCTCCTATAATTTCCTCAAGAGAGTGCACCTCTGGAATCAGAACACCAACTCCCCAGTCCTCAATTTGCTATTTCCTCTTTATGTTTAATTGTACAAGCAACTTTGAATCTAACTTCCCAGATTATAAGGATGGCGCAGGCCTGGATATTGTTTTGGTCTGTTGTGCACCTCAAAACAGCAACAGTCCACATCAGAACATGGGGATAATCATAAAATCTTTGCTCTCCAATTTAGAAAATTAAGTGAAATGATGTAAACATGCTGTACAATGTAGTTTTAAAAATGTAGTTTCTACAACTACCCAGAATGGAAACTTAAGTGATACAGGACCTTTCTTAGAGAGGATTTCACCTCTTTATTCCGAAGACTGTAGATCAAGGGATTCAGCATGGGGGTGACAAAGTTATTCAAGACTTGAACAGTTGCGTTAAGCCAGGGCCTAGGAGTGGGCTGCAGGTATATGATTACCACTGGCATGTAAGCAATAAGGATGGCAGTAAGGTGGGCACTGCAGGTGGAGAAGGCATGGCGTTGACCCTCTGCCGAGCGGATCTGCAAGATGGAGTAGACAATGCGACCGTAGGAGGTGAGAATGAGAAGGAAGCAGCTGAGAGGCATGAGCCCCACACTGATGAACCCCACCATCTCCAGGCTTGATGTATCTGCACAGGCCAGTTTTAGCATCACTGGGATATCACAAAAGTAATAATCCACCTCATTGGGACCACAGTAAGGCAATTGGAAGGTTAGGGTTGTTAGAAAAATGGCCTGAATACAGCCAAAAAGTGAGGTCCCTGTGGCAAGAATGGCACACACTCTATGGTTCATGATGACTGTGTAGCGTAGAGGGTAACATATGGCCACAAAGCGGTCATAGGCCATCACAGTGTACAGAAAACACTCCGTGCAGCCCAGGAAGTGGTAAAAGAAGAGCTCGGACACACAACCTGTGTAGGAGATAGTACGGCTGTTCCCCAAGAGGTAGAACATCATCTTGGGGGAGCTCACTGAAGGAAAAAATATGTCACAAACTGATAGCTTGCATAAAAAGAAGTACATGGGAGTATGAAGGCGAGTGGAGGAGACAATTGCAAGTAGAATGAGCAGGTTTCCTATCAATGTGAAGATGTAGAAAGTCAAAAACAGGGCAAAGAGCAAGTTCTCTAGACCCTCTGTGTGTGGGAAACCCAGCAGGATAAACTCAGTTACCACTGAGCGATTCCTCATTGCTGTGAAAACATCAAATAACATTTCTAAGATACAAAAGTGTAGACTCCAAATCAAATGATCAAGCCTTTCACGATTAGTACATGGACTAGGTTTTCAAAAGCAACAACTAGATTTCTTGGGCAGATTGAAAACTATGTAAAAACATAAGGCAATAATAAATACCAGACTATTTCAGAGCAGCATTCCATTCAAATCCTGAAAACACTGAGACATGTAGCTGTTTGAACAGTCACCCAGTCTCCCTGGGAAAATACTTATATTTTCCTCAATGATGTAAGAGGACCTCACATCCAGCGCTTCCAGACAGAGCACAAAGTGCTCCAGCCAAGAGCTTGGATTCTCCTCCTTATAAAGAACGGAGTCTCAAAGGATTTGTACAGTTAAGATATGTACACATTGACTCTCCATGGATTGCTTCATCAGAAAATTCTCCCTCTCCCGTTAAGTCCTAATTGAGACTCAGTGACAACTCCAAGGGAGCAATCAGTTTAACTGAAACGTGCACATCACGCAACTGTAAAGTAATGACATCACTGGAAAGACATGCTCTGAAATGGGGGAATGCCTATGTTTCTCCAAGACTGATTTTGAGGTAGAATAGCCACCAATTCTGACTTTATTTTTACCTGGTGTACTCTCTCTTTGGTGGTCTTCAACACCTTTATGTATTTGTTGATGATATCACTTACCTGATTAGCTTTTAATAACTTGCACATCCTTCTGACTCTGTTGCTGCCGTTGCTGGGTGTTGTCTCTTAATTTCTGACACTTAGAGGCCCTATGTACAACAGAATAAAGCACTGCTCAGTCCTGCTCCAACCATCAAACTGTAGTGATGTTTGAGCCCATTGCTGCAGCCACTGTGTAAATTCATTACTTCAAGGGTCTCCATTGTTTGCCCCTCTACTTTACCAAGCATGCCGTCCTTTTCCAGGGATCAGTCTCTCCTGATAACATGTCCAAAGTACATGAGCTGAAGCCTTGCCATCTTCCCCTGTAATGCATACCTTATTGTTCTTCTTTCAAGACAAGTTTGTTTGTTCTTCTGGCATTCCATAGTAATTGTAATATTCTTCCCCAACACAATCACTCAAACATATCAAGTTTTAAGCAGGTTTTCTTAGTCAATGTCTAACTGTCACATGCTGAGAAGGTAATTGAAAGTTCAATGGCTGGACTCAGGTGTACTTGAATCCAGCCATTGGATATCCTCAAAGTGCTATCTTTTCAGTAGATTTGCCCAGTGTCATTTGACTTATTGACTGCTGCTTCCATGAACATTGATTGTTGATCCAAATAAATGAAATATCTAAGAACTGCAATTTTTTCTGTTTTTTATCATGATTTGTCTATTTGTTCAGTTGTGAAGATTTTGGTTTTCTTTATATTGAATTGCAATTGATACTGAAGTCTGCAGTCTTCATCAGGAAGTGCTTCAAGCCCTACTAGTTTTGAGCAGGCAAGATTGTTATTTGCCTATCACAGGTTGTTAATAAACCTCCCTTCCTTCTTGAAGTGGAGTTCTTCTTCGTATAGTTTAGCTTCTTATAGTAGTTGTTCAGCATGCAGATTGGAAAAATATGGTGAAGGCTACAACCCTAACACACACCTTTCCTGATTTTAAATCATGCAATATTACCTGGTTCTGCTCAAACAACTGCCTCTGGGCCCATATACAGTTTTTTGTTTGTTCATATTATAGTGCATCTCAGAGGTGTCCTGTCAATGGAGGTCACCCTCTTGAAGATGTGTTATATGCATTTTAACTTCGGAGAGTGCGAGAGTTAGAGAAAGTGAGGTAAACGGTTGAGCTCAAGTTTTGCTTAATAAGAAATGAGTTGCAAAGCTACTAAGAAAACCCTAACGATGACTCTCTTGTGATGTTATAACTTGAAGTGCCTATGCCTAATGTTTGCATCACCCGTCTTTCAGTTAGAGAAGACAAGTCATCTCCTTTAACTCCACTTTCTCTACTCGAAGTATTCAAGTCACTGGCAGATTCCAGTAGCAACTGGTTCCTTAACTAACGTTTAAGCAAAATGTTCTAATTAGAAATAGCAAGGTACTCTTGTTCCCGTGAAAGATGGTTTATTTATTCCTGGTAGGGCTGTGGTATGGAGTAAACCGCAACACATAAACATAAGTTCTTTCCTTTATGTACAATCACTCAGTGAAGAGAAAATCGGACTGTGAGCAAAATTGGTGAGCATAAGATCACGATTTAATCTACTCATTTCTTTCCCTCTCTTGCCCCAACATTGGTAGGGATGAGTTCCTGTGAGGTACAAATGGTTGTTCTCGCCTGTTAATCAACATTTAGAAATTCAAGCTCATCAAGAAGCATCTTTGAAGAAATATTTGACAATCTGTGTTGGAAGAGTCAGTCATGAAGCACACTTCTACTTAAACACAAATTTGGTCACCATGAATCAGAACCAACTGGATAGGAACTGCTACTTTTATTTATTTACTTAGGATGGAAGAGTGCTCAGATGCCTGAAACCTTGGGTATTTAATGGTATGATCCACATTATGGAGGATTTAGATGAATATATTTAGAAATAAAATTGAAATTTTTTCCCTTCATTCTTCTAGGGAAGAAACAGAATTAATGGACCTTGAATCTCAGGAAACTTTGTTGAATGACTTGATATCCTTAAAACAAACAAACAACCCCACTGTCATCAAATTCATTCTGATTCATAGAGGCCCTACATAGATTTTCTAATACTGTAAATTTGTATGGGAGCAGACAGCTCCATCCTTCTGTGGAAAGGCTGGGAGGTTTGAACTGCTAAATTAGCCATTAGCAGCCCAACCCACAGCCTAAGATACAGTGACACTCGAACCCCTCTTTTGATGCCATTGAACATTACTAATTTCTAATTTAGTTCTATTCCTACTGTCAAACCCTTTAACTTGCTGGAATATGAATCAAGTAACCACAGATTAAGTGGCAGTTGTAGAAAGTGAACAAGGAAATACTAAATGGTTTAAGATGCACAGGTAAAGTGTACATCATCATGGAAGTCTTTCATCAGTTATTCATACTGGACAAGTAATTCCAGGAGGTGGACTATATAAAGAACTGGCATCGGGTTGGAGGAAGTATTGCTAGCAGCTTGAAGTAGTTAGTTTATTGTGCCAACCTGGCCAATAAACACATGTGGGGTTAGTTGAAGGGCGGAGGGGTTAATGGTTCAGTGAGCCTCACCTTTCTAGTTCTCGGGTCTCTTGCTTTGTGATGGTCACACCAGGGCACAGCTGCCTTAGCCAGTTCCTGCTTCAGCTGGCAAGGCTCACTTCCTGCAAGACATCCCCAAGGAAAAGCCACATGGACCTACCCCAATGTAGCCCTGGGTGCTGGAGCAGCCACGTGGAGACCCCTGCCAGTGCTGAGATGCTTACAGGTTCACTGATTCGGTTTTCCTCCTGCAGTCGGCATCATTGCATCTGTTTTGTGAGATGGAGGAGGACATTGTGGATCGGTGTTGGACATATGGGTTAATGGTGGACTTGTGGGTTTGGGCAGCACTGGGTTGGGATGTTTTCTTGATGTGCACTTACCCTTTATATAAAACTCTCTTATACATGAGTTTCTGTAGATTTGTTTCTCTAAAGTACCCAGACTAATATACACAGCTTATATAATATGCAGATGAAACAGTCATGCTTGCTGAAACAGGAGAGAGTTTGAAGCACATACTGATGAAGATCAAAGACTGTAACCTTACATATGGATTATACCTCAATATAAAGAAAATAAAAATCTTCACAACTGAACCAATTGAATAACATCATGATAGACAGAAAACATTGAAATTGCCAAATATTTCCACTTACTTGGATTCACCATCAATGCCCAGGGAAGCTGTAGTCAAGAAGTAAATGACGCATTGCTATGGGCAAATCTGCTGCAAAGGGGCTTCTTAAAGGTGTTAAAGAGTAAAGACATAATCAATTCTGAGGACAAAGAGTTGCCTGGCCCTTGCCATGCGATGGTACTTTTGATTGTGTCAAATGCATACGAAAGCTGGATAATAAAGAAGGAAGACCAGAGAATTTGCTTTTAAATTATGTTGTTGGTGAAGAATATTTCCAGAAAAACAAACAAATGTATTTTAGAAGTACAACCAGATTGTTTCTTTTAAGTAGTACTGATGAGATTTGGTCTCACCTATTTTGGACTTGTCCTCAAGATGGTCATTCCCTGGAGAAGGACTTCATGTTTGGCAAAGTGGAGGGTCAGCAATAAAAGAGGAAGAACTCCAATGGGTTGACGCAGTGACTACAACAATAACTCATGCATAAGAATTGTGAAGATGGTGCCTCAGTGGGCAGTGCTTCTGTTGTACAGAGAGGCATGGAGGCACACTGAATCAACTCAACAGCTGAGGTTTCTTTCTTTTTTTTTTTTGTTGCAGATACTGTTCAAGATTGCATTGGAAATAAACATTGCAATGACCACAGGAATAGGGCAAAAGGAGGAAGTAAAAGACATTCGAGTTGGTAAGAAGAAAATAAACTATCTGCATTTGCACATTATATGATCTTAAACATTGAAATTTCATAGATTCTCTAAGAAAACTGCTGGAACTAACAGGACATTCAAGAAAGTGGCTGGGTACATAATTTAGATACAAATATCAAGGCACCATCTAAACTAAGACAACTCTGAAATCAGTAAAATACAATTTACAAAAGATGAAGTACTTCAAAATAAATGTAACCTGAGAGATGAAAGACTTATACATAGAAAACTACAAAGCACTACTATAAATTGAAACCAAAATAGATAAATAAGAAAGAATATGCCATGATCATGGATAGGGGGAGTTAATATTGTGAAAAACTCAATACTAGGTAAATCTGTGGATATAACACAATCCCAATCTGTAGTCCATCATAGTTCTTTAAAGAAATAGAAAACCAATCGCCAAGTTTATATGGATATCTCCATATAAGCAAAGGACTGTCAAGTAAGAAGAAAGTAGGAG